GTTCCCAGAGGACAGATACTGAGTCTTGGCTTGGTCATGTCCCTGACCCACTACCTCCATTTCAGTTCTCAGGAGGTAGCTTGGGTGGCACTGCCTCCAGGAAGCCTGCCCTGAGCCTCAGTGAGAGCTGGCTTCTCCCTTATTTGCCCATCCACCGCCCCAGGGTTTCTCCCACCAGGATGCTGAGTACAGTTTCTGTTGAAGTTTAACTCACATGCGCAAAGGTGCAGACCTTAAGTGTGCAGCTCAAGGGGGTAGTCCCAAAATGAACAGCCTGTGTAAAGAGCACAGGAGTTATTACCCCTGCCTCAGGTGCCCCACGTTGGCCTCAGGATACCTCATCCTGACCTCTAGCCAACTATTTGGTGGCCTGCTTTTGTACTTTCTGCAAAAACAACTGTCTAAGAAGTCCTCTGTTGTGTCTGCCTTCTCTCGCATTATGTTTAGATTTGTCCGTGTCTTCACATGTAGTTACAGATGGTTTATTTTCATTACTGTATCATGTTCCCCTGTGAGAATAGACCACAACAGATCCATTTTCTCACTGACAAACATTTGGGTAGTTTCTAGTATTCTGGCAATGAATGCATAGTGCTGCTAAGAACATGCTAGTTGGTGTCTTCTCAGGCGCATACGCATGCATTTCTTTGGGGTGTATACCCAGAAAAAGAAGTGGAACAGCTGGGTCAGAGCGTAGGCATATACTCCACTTTGGCAGCCGCAGCCACACTGTTTTCCAAAGCGGCTGTGCCAGTCGATGCCCCGCCAACAGCACAGGAGGGTTCCTGCCGCCCCATGTCCTCGCCAGCTCCCAAGGCTGCCTGGGAGTGCCTGTTCTGGGAACCAACAAAAGAACAAGTGACTATCTCCTTGCTGCGGGGCTCTACGCGGGTTGCCCCAGAGGCGAGTGCCTGGTGGCGCTCCTGGTTCACCCTGAAACCTCAGTGTGCCCTGAAAAAGAGCAATCGAATAAGATTCTTTGTAAATTTCAATTCAGGATAAACTCTAAACAGGTCCAGGTGTGGGGGAGGAGGGCGGCAGGATCCCGTCAGGCACTGCAGCGAAGGGGGTTGGCCCTGGGTGGGAAGGGGGTGCCGGAAGCCATGCAGATGGGCTCCTGACAGTCCATGGTTGGGACACTGACTGAGCAGACACCACACCGTGTTTCCTATCCTGCCCAGGACTACCCCTCCTTCTCCCTCCTCCTGCAGCAAGCAAAGGCAGGGCCCTGGGCCCTCGACCAAGGCCGAATACCAGGGCAGGGCCTCCTGGGCAGAGGCAGGTCCCACTGAGAAAGGGGCTTTCCCAGAATGCCTTGCTTGGACCCACCCCCTGGGCAGGTGAGGAATGAGGGAAGCAGGCCTGGTGCACCTTCTGAGGCCCTGGTCTCCCTGCCTGGCAGCATGACCTCAAAGTAGGCCGTCCCCCAAGCCAGCCCCCCAGGAATCTAGCCCAGACGCAGGTGCCAGCCAGAATCCAGGTACGCCAGGGCAGGCGGAAGGTCGTTTCCTCTGCTCTGCCAGCCTTGGCCCTCCCCTTGCAGGTTCGGCGCTGGAAGAAGCACAGAGGCCCTTTGGTCTTCGTTCAGAGCAGGAACCCTGTTCTCAGACTTCCTGAGCTCCTTAAATCCCCAAAAGACAGAGGCCTTGCCACCTCCCAAGGGCCCCCATGCTCTGGCGATGCAGCTCCGACTCAGGAAAAAGCCACCACTTGTTTGCAACTTCTTTTGGGCCAAGCGCTATGCCTACCTTACATAGTTAATTTCACAGCGGCTCCATGAAGTAAGTATAGTTATCACCATCCCTGTTTTTCAGAAATGGTAACTGAGGGCTGAGCCGTCGTCTTGCCTTAAAATTACACACACGCACACATTTCCTGCTTCTGTCCAACAGGAGAGCCAAGAAGCAATGACACCTCAGTAGCAATGCACACACCCAGCACCCACACGTTGGTTCCTAAACATCACTCACCAATAAAAGGAACGACACGCCGTGGTGAAATGGCTGATTGAGCCACTGAGGCAGGGAAAATACAAGATGAGCTCAGAGCATCTTAGCCAGAAAGTAAGGAAATGCTCAAAAACAAAAGGTTGGGAACAACAGACACAGGAGCTAATCTGAAGGAGCTGCCAATGGCCCAAACTAGAACAATTTACCCAACAAAATAAATGCCTTAGGACTGAATTATAACCCAAAGGATAAGATAGATAAATGCATGGGTCCTTGCTGGTAGAAATAAATGACTGGTGAAATAAATTTCGGGGGGAGAGGTGGCACAAATCCCCCTTACAGCAGAATTCCCAATGCTACGTGTAGATGCCCCTCCAGGAGGTGGAGCTTGCCTCCCACCCCACCTCACACACGCTTTAACGTGGGCTCCACGTGCCTCTGGAGAATGAAGCCTGGCAGAGACCAGCTTAGCTCTGTAATCAAGGTTAATAACACCAGGAATAAGTCGCACACCTCCTGAGATCACGTGATGAGAAAGGCACTTGGCCTCTGCGGTATTCTTGCCCCAAACCCACAATTCCTGTCTAGTCAGGAGGAAAACATCAGACAAACCCAAACGGAGGAACAGTCTAACAAAGCACTGACCAGAACTCAAAATTGTCAAGGTCATGAAAAACAAGGGAAGCCTGAGAAACTGTCACAGACCAAAGGAGACTGTGACGACTAAGTGCAATGTGGGTTCCTGAATTGGATCCTGGAACAGAAAAAGGACATTAGTGGAAAAACTGGTGAAATCCGAATACAGTTTGTAGTTCAGTTAATAGTCATGTACCCATGTTGGTTTCTTAGTTTTGACAACTGGGCCATGTTGATGTACGATGTTGACAACAGGGAAAACTCAAAGCGCTGTACGGAACTCTCTGTACAACCTTTGCAACTTTTCTGTAACTAAAAGATTTATTTAAAAAAAAAAAATCACATGGGTATAAACATCTGAACCAGAATTTAAATTCAGAATGTGCTCACCTCCTTAGCCTGTACACTCCGGGCCCCGTGCCATCTCCTATTAGAAAGCCATCCCCAAAGGTTCCCCAAGGGCATGAGTTTCTCCCCATTTGTCCACGTTTGCCCTCTGGGGACGCCCCAACTCATGTTTTCTTTGCCCCACAATCTCCTTCTGAGGGCCGAAGGATGCTCCCACCCTCGCAAGTGTTCTCTGTTCCCTGGTCCTTCTGTTCTCTTGAGTGACTGGATTTTAGTGAATTGTCCTCCCCAGCATTTACTCTTCCTTTGCAAAAGCCACCAATTCCTCTTGGGGATCCATAGAGCTTCAGGGCACACCATTCCCCAGCCTGACTCCAGGGATAGAGCCCACGACCTAGGTTTAGGTCTATCAGCTCGCAACACCCCTTGGCCTCTGTGATCAGCCCAGAGGTGATCCAAGCTGGTCCAGTCAGAGAGCATCCAGGACTTTGAGAACACAGATACAAGCACAGTTCTCTTCTTCCAAGTTGAGTATGAATGAAGAAGCCCCTGGGAGCCTTAGGATGAAGTTGACACCAAGAATAACAGAGTTGAGAAAGTGAAGGGCTGGGTCCTCAGTGACAGCGATGGGCCACTGAATCGAGCCTTGCCTGAAGCCCACCCTGACTCTATGCTTCTCAGCCATGAGAACTGTGGTAGACTGAAAAAAGATCTCCCAAAAGACATCTACATTCTAATGCCTGGAACCTATGAATGTCAGCTCATATGATTAAAAAAGGGGTGGGTCTTTGTAGGTGGGATTTAAGTTAAGAATTATAAGATGGATTTTTTTCAGAGATTTTATTTATTTATTTTTAGAGAGATGGGAAGGGAAGGAGAGAAACATTGAAGTGTGAGAGATACATTGATTAGTTGCTTCTCACACGCCCACAACCAGAGACCCAGCTAGCAACCCAGACATGTGTCCTGACCAGGAATCAAACTGGCAACCCTTTGGTTTGCAGGCTGGCACTCAATCCACTGAGCCACACCAACCGGGGCTATAAGATGGATTTAAGTTAAGAATTAAGAATCTGGATGGGCCCCAAATGCAATCACATGTATCTTTATAAGAGGGAGGCAGAGGAAGATGATACGGACACTGTGAGAAGGCAATGGCCACAGAGACAGAGACTGGAGAGATACAGCTGCCAGTCTAGGAATGCTGGCAGCCCCCGAAAGCTGAACTAGGCAAGGCACAATTCTCCACCAGGGCACATCTCCGCTACAACATGGAGCCTGGACCTCCAGACACCTAGATTTTGGCCCGGCGATACCAATTTCAGAGACTTCTGGCCTCCAGAACTGTGAGAGAATACATTTCTGTTGTTTACAACAACTAGTTTGTAGTAATTTGTTACAGAAGCTGTAAGAAACAAGTACAAACAGTAATAAAGTCTCTTTAATATTTAAGCCTATTTGAATCTGCTGTTTTGTTAATAGCAGCCCAGAGCAATCTGACCCGCAGCCCCTTGCTCAGCCTCCCCTGGTTAAGTGGGGAGCTCTACAGACGGGCAAATCCTCAGTGGGAGGCAGCCTGAGACCCTCCTGATCTTTAGCTGGGAAAATGGGGCTGGGTCGGGACAGCATCAGAAGGCCCACAGACTCCAGGCAAAGGCATGATTGGAATTTATTTACAGACAACTCACGACCAGGGCCCACGCAGGCTCTGGCCAGAAGACCCCAGATACACATAGGCCCCAGGACCCATTAGTACCAGAGCCCTTCCTGGCCAGGCCCCTGGTAAAGGGCCAAGAGTCAGGCAGGGTGAAGGACATGGAAGACAGAGGGCCCAGTCCTAGCTAGATATCAGAGGTCACCCCTAGTGGCCCTCATGCCAGAGGAAGAAACCATCTTCGGCCCTAAAGAGGGGACACTGAGAAGCATGAGGACAGCTCCGCTCTCGACGCCTGGCCACGGAGCAGAAGTCCCAGCAGCGGTGGCCTGGGGCATGGAGCTATGGCAGGACCCCTCCAGACCTGTCCAGGAGCCGGGCATGGAGCCAGGGTCCCAGGCCACGGCTGCCCATCACGCAGGAGGCTCCCCGAGTTTGCTGGTGGCACTTGTGATCCGCTTACTCTCCCGGAGGTTCCGGAGGCGGGCACTGAGGCTGCTGATCTCCTCCACGTAGGCCTGGGGCACCCACCCCTTCTCGCCATCTGCCAGGCGGACTCCCTCCAGCCAGCCTGGGGGCACACAGGCCAGGAGCCGTGTCAGTGGCATCAGAGCGACACCAGGGCAGGCCTGCGAGGGAAGGCCCCTAAGCCCTGATGCAAGCCTCGTCCGTACCCCTCGGGCCCAGCTGACGCCCTCTCAGCATCTCCCAGCTCCAGGAAGGGCCCTGCCTCTAGCAGCCTCGTAGAGGAACTTCTGACCTGTTTTTCCTGACATCCTCAAAGGGTATTTCCCACTCTCCCCCTTCAGTTCCTCTCAATCCTACATCTTTACAAGTAGGAAGTTCCTCCTCTTGTCTAACTTCATTCCTGCATGCTGAGGCCGGTTAATCAATATGTGCATAACCTTTTCCTGTGATGTCTCAGCCGTCTAGCTCCCTCCTGCTCACCCAAGCCCCTTGGGGGAGGCCTTCGCAGAGGGCCTCTCTCACCATCACTTGTCTGGGTCCTCACTGCCAGGATGTCAGTCTTCTCCAAGGTCAGCTCATCCGGCTGCAGCGCCTTGTACGTCCTGACACACTGAACCTGGGGGCGGTCTGACGGCCCAAGAGAGACTGAGGGAGTCCCCAGAGCATGATGGGGCGGGCAGGGAGGGGCAGTAGGAGGAAGTAAGGGGTGGGATAGTGGTCGCTGCTGCTCCTTTTCGTCTGCCCCTCCCTGCCCAACCCTGGCCACTCTTCTCCTCTCTTAGCCTAAACACACGCCCTACGCGATCCAGCCCCTCGCAGCTTCAGTTACTGTTTCTGCGCCCAGAGCTCTCTCCTCCCCAGCTCAATCCGACTCCTTGCTCCTGACCTCCAGGCCAATGCCCAGCTGCCCCCAGAAACCCCTCACAGAACAGTGACGGCCCCTTCATATGTCCCCCAATGCCGATCTGGTGCTCCCGCCATGCTGTTCTCCTGGACTGGGATTCAAGCCATATCACTCCCCCATTTATAACCCTCCAAGGCTTCCTGCTCTCAGGGAAAAGTCCAAAGTCCTCCCTGCAGCCTCAAAGCCCTGCGTGGTCTTATGTTGCCCCTTGCTAACCTTATCTCCTCTCCTCTTCTTTCCTGCTCCCCCTCACTCAGGAAGCTCAGCCACACTGATCACCTTGATGTTCCTCAAACACTCGAAGCTCCCTCCGGCCACAGGGCCTTTGCACTGGCCATTCCTCTGACCGGGAACACTCTGCCCCAGGTCCTTTCATGGCTGCCCTCCTCGTCCTTCAGGGCCCTTCCCTGACCACCTCTTTGGAATGGGAAGCTCACCCACCAGCATAAACAGGACCCCTGACTCAAGCCAGAGAAGCTATTCCAGTCCAAGCCCTCAGACCTTCCTGCCATGCTAGGTGGGCTGGTAGTATTGGGTGAACTTGGACAAGCCACTTTACCTCTTGAAGCTCTGTTTTCTAACTTGTAAAATGGGCTTCTGTGGGGATGAAACAGGAGGATATAAAAGGCTTTGTCATATCCCAGGTGCTGCCTGTGCATATGGGGGTCGGCCTGTCCTATGTAAATTCTTCCTGTCCTTCAAGGTTCTGCAGAGCCACCCCTGACTCCCCCAGGCCAGTGGATCCCTCTCCTTGGTAGCCCCGCTGGCCACATGGCACCCAGGATTGGAGGGAAGGGGGAAAGCAACGAGGTACCCAGGCCAGGGGATGTGGGCCTTGGAGGGAGGAGGGTGGCAGGCTGCTACCTTCCCCCTCGCTGATGACCTCCTTGTCCTCCTGGGGGCTGGAGGGGCACATGGCGGAGATCCACCGCTGCTTCTCGCTTCTAGGGAAGGGAGGCTGAGTTATCACACCATGCAAACTGCATTTTCCCAGGGCCGAGGTGGTGAAACGGCTGGGAGAATGTGGTATGATGTCCAGACTCGGGAACCAGGTCACGTCTTCCCCACCCCAGGACACACACCCCTGCCTGGAGCACAGAGCAGGCCCAGAATCCATGGGCGCCAGCTCTGCCCATGCCCTGGAGCCAGAGGAAAAAGGCCAGGGCCTGCCTGGGGCGGGGCCCCCTCTCCCCACGGCCAGGCCCACTCACTCTGTCTGCGCCCTCAGCAGGAACTGGTGCTTCGCATGCTGCCCGTGGAGGAGCTGAAGGAGGAACACGTGGCCAGGGATGCCCTGGGGCTTTAGGCTCAGGTCCTTCACCTGCAGCTCGGCCATCTTGGCATGGACAAAAACGGCAAACTTCCCCAGCCTGCAGGACCAGGGCAGGCGAGGTCAGCCGGGCTCCACCCTCAGGACAGCTCAGTTCTGATTAAAGGGAGAAGGGGTCATCTGTCCCTCTAGAACCTTCCCCAAGGAATCTTGGTGGCACAGGGCGCTGCCTCCCTGGCAGCCAGCAAAGTCCACAAAAGGAATTGGGAGCTCTGTTCCCGCCAGGTTGCTGACAGGTGGAAGGTGAGCGGGCCAGCCCCTGACCACAAGCTGTCACCTTCTCTCTGAACCTCTGCCCTGAGCCCATTCGAAGAGCCAACCAGGAGAAACTCTGATGAGACCTGACTCACTGACTGGCCTAGAAGCTGGACTTTGTCTCTTGTTCTGCTTTATTTGGTCCAATAACCACTTGTAGAAAAGATGAGTGGTTGGGAGAGGGGGCGGGATTTGAGGATGTTCCATAGGTTCCTTCACGTCAACCCATCTAAACAGAATTCAGGATCTCCCACTCCAAACCAGATCCCTTCGCTGCTCCTCACCCCAGTGAAAGACCCCACCAAGTTCCCGGGAAGAAACTGCTTCTCTTCCCTTTCCCCTCACCCCACACCAGCAGCTACTTTCTATCTGTGTCCTTATTGTCCCCAGAACCCACCTATCCCCAAGCGCCCTACTACTCCCACCCGGGCAAGTGCAAGCGCTTCCGGTCTCCCCCTCTGGTCCATCTTCCAAATTGGCCAAGAGTAAAATGCCACACCTCTGCTTAATTCTCCATGCTCCCTACTGCCCTCAGAAAGCCCAGCCTCACTGCGCCGACGTCCAACATTCCAACTTCCCCCTCTACAAATCCGGACCCATAGGCTTCATTTTCCACCACACACACTCTGCTCTCATGCCTTACTGTGACTTTGCTATATCCCCCCAAACTCCTTCCCTACCTGGAAAACTCCTACTTATCCTTCAAAACCCACCTCAAATGTCCCTTCCTCTGTGACACTTTACTGATTCTCACCCCACACCAGGGTAGGCTATAGTACGGGTACACCCTTCCATCAAAACCCTGGCCAGGTGCCAATCAGGATGTGTTCTCACTGGTGCGAGAGCTCCTGTGAGCCGAGAACAAGTCCCATTCATTTCTGTATCCCCAGCAGCCATCAGAAGACCCAGTACAGAACAGGGGTTCAGTGATGCTGTACTGAATAAAAGGAATAAATCAGAAATGAACTCTTCCTATAGCAGAAGATGTCCATTCTTCCTCCCATCCAGTCTTCAAGTCTCACCTCATTCAGGAAATCTTCATCCCAAACTTTAATAAGCACAGCTAATACTGAGTGAGCGTTCACTATGTGCCAGGTACGTGCTAAGTTCTTTTCATGTATTATTATCACATGGTTCTCCCTACATAGTAGCCTCTACTTTACAGATGGAAGGCAGGGTAGTACAGTGGTTAAGAGCTGAGATCGGGCATCACCCAGACCTGGCCTCCTGACTCCTGCATGTACCAGCTCCAAGACACTGAGAATAACAACGGCGCCTACTTCCCAGAGAAATACTTAGAGGACAAAAGGGAGTGATCCACACAGCATGCCTGGCACAGAACAGGCACATAGCAAAGGTTGGCTGTTACCGCTGTGACTCAGGGCAGACCTGGGACTCCACGGCTGTCCTCTTAATCTCTGCTCTCAGTGACCTAAGCTCAGAGCTTCAAGTCCTCTGTACATAGTCCGGCTCTTGATTCTGGAAAATGAACTTGCCTTGAATCTGTGCTTTTCTTGCTAGAGCTTCCCCGGCTGGCGCAGGCTGGGGCTTCCAGGCCCAGTGATCGACTGGTTGTGAGCCCATTAGTGGGGCAGAAGGGAGCCCAGCTCCAACCTACCTTCCCCTACACCCTGCCCCAACTCACTCCTTCCGCCGGGAGAGAAGCAAGCAGTCATTGAAGAGGTGCAGGTAGACTGCCTTGCTGGACAGCTTCAGCTTGGCCGGGGGGGCAGCGGGCAGCGGTGCCAGCTCCACCAGCTCCCCATGCCGCACCAGCCAGCGGGCCTGAGAGATCAGTGGGAAGATCTGGGAAGGTGGAGGAGGCAAGGTGGGGGACAGGTCAGACCCAGGGCAGCAGGGCAGAGGGCACAGGCTAGGGATGGGAGGGGGTGGGCATTGATGCATTGGCCTGCAGCCCTCAGGGAAGGAGGGGACAAGAGCTGCCCTTTGTGTGCCCATCCCGCCTGCTATGGGCATGCACCTTGCCCTCAAAGTGGATCTTCTTGCTCAGGTGGATGAGCTCCTCTGTCCTCTTCATGGACTGCACACTGGCATTGCATTCTTGCACCAGCTGGGGAGGCCGTGGGTGGGTCACCTGCAGCCCCACAACCCCGGCTCCCAGAGCCCAGCCTCAGACTCCCACCTGGTGACCAGAAGCTCTGAAGGCTGGGGCTCTTTCAGAGGCTCACTGGGGCTCCGGGGAGGCCCCTGGGAGCCAGATAGCCCCTGCCCTGCCGAGCTCACCTCCTTGAGTGCATTGAAGGCCTTGGTGGCCATGTCTTCATCTTCAGAGCCCTGTGCTGTCCGCTTCAGGATGTTCTAGAGGGTGGGGTTGGTTCAATGAATCAGGCCACGACCTCCCGCCATGATCCCACCCATCCGTGGGTGCCCAGAGGGGCTGCGGAGGGCACAGCAGCCTCTCCTTCACCAGCCCTCACTGCAGCGTGATGTCCCCCCCTCTAGGTACCTCCACCAGCATCTTGAGGCGGGTGATCCTCTGAAATGGCAGGATGAGGAAGGAGGTGAGGGGCAGACGTTGGCACACGGGAGACTCTTCTAGGCGAGCCAGGATGCCAGGGAACTTGGGGTTCTCCAGGCTGAGAGATGGGGAGGGGTCTGGGGTCACAGTTGATCCAGCCACCCCACTGGTTCTTCAGGTGCTTTCTCAGCACATCCTTCGTGCATTCTGGCCACAGATCCCTTTTCAGGGACCCCTCCCTCTCAGGTCACCCTTCCTCACCCAGTCCTCTGCACCTAACGCCACCTGAGAACCCCTTTATCCTCCCCCCTGTCAGAGTCCCCAGCCCTACAGCAGGCGCTGGTACGTGCGCTCCTGGTAGGCCTGGTTGGTAACGTAGGGCAGGTAGACACGGCGGAAGGCCGGGCAGTGGTGCAACACAACGTCGCACACGCTGAAGCGCAGTACATCTGCCTCTAGTCGCTGCTCCAGGTCCTGCAGGAACCTAGGGATCAGTAAGGGGTCAGGGCTAGGGTGAGGCCCGAGACCTGGGAGCCTGGCCAATCACAGGCTCGGTCCCGCCCCTAGCCAGGCCAGTCCCTCACCTCTCGCTGGTGCTCTTGACCTCGGGCAGTTTGGAGAACAGCCACTGTTTGTCCTGCGCCCCCAAACACTCACTCAGCTCAGCTGAGCCTAAGAAGTGGTCCACGGCCACCGACAGGCTGTGGATGTATGAGGCTTCGGACGTGATCAGCTCAAACTTGGCCTGAGCAAGGGTGGATGCAGAGTTGAACCTGCCGGACCAGACCACCCGGGCGCCCTCTCCTCTCATAGCCCCCACCCCAAGCCCTGGACACCACCTCCTTAGACACAGCCTCATCCCCTGTTTCTGGCCCCATCTCTAGTCCCATCTCTGATCTGGTGCCTTGTGGGATTTGGGACCCATCTTCTGCCGCGTGCAAGTTCAAACCAAACTGAAGCCCTAGATTAAGCCCCCAACCCTGAGCATCGAGCCCTGCCAGTCATCCGACGGCCCCGCCCTTCAGTTGACTCCGCCCCTGCTTTTGGCCCCGCCTGGTCCCCCACCCACCACGCGGTTAGGCTACCTTTGGCTCTGAAGCTTCCCCTCCCCGGCTTTCAGCGATTCCCTTTCTGTGGCCCAGCCTGAATCCGCCCCCGCTCTGGCCCTGCCCTATTCTAGGCCTCCCCCCGTTGGCACCGCCCCTCGCCCAGCTTCTCCAAGGGCTTTTGGATGCCAGGCTCCTCCTTCTTCGCTTGCAGCCAGCCCCGCCTTGTTAGGGTCCTGGCAACCACCTTCGGATACACCGTCCCATCGGTTCCGCCCTCCTGTGGCCCCAAGTTCCCCATCTTCTTCAGTTTGCTGTCCCACTAAATCTCGGGACTGGTTACTTCTGAACTCGCTCATTCTGTTGCCCAACCCCCTCTGGGCCTCAGGACCACCTCCCCGGACTGGCAGCTCTGCTGGCCCCACCCCGCCCCGTCCCGCCCCTCCAAGTCCCCGCCCGCACCTCCTGCAATTTGCAGTCGCGCAGGCTCAGCGTGGCCAGGACGCCGCTCCCGCGCACATCGGGGATGTCCTGCCACAGCGAGAAGGTGGAGCCTCGCGCCGAGCGCTGCGCCCGGAAGGAGCTGCTTGGGGAGAGGTTGGCGCGCGGTGGTCCGGGCCCCTCCTCCGCGCCCTCGGCCTCGTCCCCCGGGCCCTCCTCCTCTCGCTGCTGCCGCCGCAGTTCGCGGGCGCTGGCCACGTCGCTGTATTCCTGGTAGAGGACGGCTGGGCGGGGAGAGGGGCAGGGGAGGGCTGTGGGGCGCCCGCCAGCCGCGGCCGGACGCCTCCCGGGCTCCCCTAAGGGCCTGCCTCGCTCAACAAGTCTTTCCGAAGGTTCGGATAGCGGGACACAGTGAATTCATTCATTCATTCATTCACTCACTCATCTCAAAAACACTGCTTGAGCACCAACTGCGTGCTAACCGCTGTGCTGGATACTGAGATTCAGTTCCTCTTACACGATCCCTACCTCTCAACTCTCGGAGCCCCAGTTTCCCAGGTTCCCTAAACCCCTAGCCTCTACCTCTAGGACCCCCTCCCACGTACAGTTAAGGAGGAACCGTGACTGTCGTCTCTCGCTGGCGCTTCTGGAACCCAGAGCTGGCTCTTCCTGTGATTCCAGCCTAGGAAAGAGAGAATGTCAGGGCTCTCCTTTGCCTGCGCCCCAGCCTCATACCCGATCCGGACTGGGAGGCGGTACCTGGACTCAGGCCGGCTGCCATGGCCCCCGCTCGGGTCCACAGGGGCTGCGGTCATCGCACCGTCCACCCTCATCTCTACACTGCGCGAGTCCCTGCCAGATGCTTTCCCTGAAGAGGACAAGAGCTGAGGTGGGTAGCCCAAAGAGAGTGGCCCTGGGCACCCAGGCGCCGCACTCCAGCTGACCAGCGCCCAGTCTCGGGTGTCCAGTGAGTGAGCCTTGCTCCACCCCGCATCTGGCTCATGGGCTGCTCTAAGAGCCCAGGGGAGGGGCAGGTACCTTCCCGGGCTCCTCCAGTGCCTGACCCTTGGGTCAGCGCCCTGGCTGCCGAATTCCGCCCCAGGCGCAGGGAAGAGTGCAGCCGGGTCATCAGCTCAGAGGCTGAGAAGCGCCTCCGCTCAGGCCCCTCAAGGCCCACTCGGCTGGGCCCAGACAGCTCCAGCGACCTAGGCTCCTCTGTGCCCAGGGACTGCTCTGCCACCTGGCCAGGCTCGAGGAAGACAGCCTGGGCCTCTTCACGCTGGTACACCCGCATCTTGCGCCCTGCAGGTGGGGTGAGAACACAGGCTGGCGTCCTCTGGGGTCTCTCCCCACCCCCTCTCTGCTGCTGCCGTGTGGCCCTGAGCATCTGGGCAACATGCCCAAGTGAAAGGGCAATGTTTTTGCCAAGAGCTGGTCCCCACAGAAATGAATTCGATGAGAGGGGTAGAGAGAGCACAATGCCTGAATGCAGTGGGGAAATGGGGGGCAAAGGGCCAGGGAGACCAGGACAGCCACTCATTTGCTGTGTGACCTCAGACAAGCCATTCCTCTTCCTGGAGCTCCAGTTCCCTATCACTGAAATCCACCACTTGTCCTGCCTGTTTAGGGAACTCTGGGGCTTAGGAGTCCTAAAGAGCCACCCAACCTGTCCCCTACTCACTCCAGTGGGCCACCACCCCCTCACCCAGAGTGACTCACAGGCTGACTTCTTCTCTGAGCCATGGCTGGCCCGGCGCTGCGGCTGTGGGTGCTGGGGACTCCAGGATCCCTCCAGGGCTGGGGGCTGGGCACTAGGGCAGTGTGGCCAGCTGCCAGCCCTGCTGGGCCGCATCCCCCCACTGGTAGCCGTCTCGGTGTCTGGGACTCCTGGGGATGGTGGCCATAGCAGCCCTTGGAGAGGAGCAGGGGTCCCCAGGGACCAGCGGCTGCCGGGAGCCTGCAGCTCCTCTGGGGTGACCGGAAAGAGATCCAGACACACAGGGCTTGGGGGCTGCAGGGTGGGCAACTCCACAAAGGACAGACTCTCCTGCTGGCACACAGCCACTGGGTGGCGGGCAGGACCAGGTGGCCCGGCCAGGTGGGACTGGAGGGTGGCAGGTGGCCCACAGTCCATTCCTCTTTTGCTCTGCCACTCACCTGGGCCTGCAGGGGAGAAGGTATGAAAGCCAGACACAGGGCAGCAGGGCTGGCCAGTAAGCGACCACGTCCTGGAGGCCTGGACAAACCCTCGTGTAGACATGCGTGCACATCCACCTGTACCAGCACACTCACACCCCTAATTCTACAGGAAAAGCTAATACTTGGCACTTAATGAAGGATAGGCCAAGTGCTTTACACATATTATCTCACCTAATCCTCACAACAACCCTGAGTTGGTGCTATTATTATCCCCACTGTACAAGTGAGGGAAGTGAGGCACAGAGGTTATTTGGTGAATGGCCAAACCAGGATTCAAACCCAGGCCGTCTAGCGTCTGAATCTGTGCTTTAAGCCACCTTGTACATTTTCTAATTCTCACTGACATATGATCAGATGTACAGACATACACCCTATCCCACAAATCCATGTATGTTTCATGTAACGTCCACACACATTTTCTCCCAAATACACATATTGACATACACACTTTCACAGACACACTCAGACATTTCACATTCGCAGGCTCACACAGTCACGCCACACACACAACTACATATTTACACACACACTGGCCCATCAGTTATTTACATATCCACTCAGGCTTTCTCACACTCTGTTCCATTCACATTCACCAGGATGCAGACAAACACACAGGCCCAGAAGTCCTGGCTTTGGTGTTACCCAACCTCCCTTCCCATGCCCAGAGTTGCCGCCTTCAGTGCTGAGCGCTGCCCACACCCATGCCAAGCTGGCTGGGAGGGTCACAGACTGGCAGGCGTGCCACCACGCAGATCAGGCTGGGCCCTCCCAGGAGAAGGACAGGGAGGTGTCCCGGCCCCCCAGCTTGGGGTGAGGAGGGTTTCTTCCCTACCCCGGCTCCCAGCCCAGGCACCAGGCCAGGCTGAAGGGATCCTCTCTGTGTAGGCAGCCATCCCAGGGAGGCTGCCGAAGCCTCAGGACAGGCCTAGGGATCCAGGGGGCCAAGCTCCCACAGCCCTTGCCCCGTGGCCCTCCGCCGGCGGCCCTCCTACAGCCCCTCACCTCTCCAGACGAGGCCCGCTGCTGCTGTTCGATTGCTCCGGCAGGGGAAGCCCTCTCTCTGCCCAGCTGGCTGGGGGAGATCCCACCCAGACAAAGAGTTTGATTCATCAAACCCTGTGGTGAGGCAGGCGGTAGGGAGGGAGGGAGCAGGCAGCGGCTGGGCGGGGGCCTACCCTAGCCTGGCCTCGCTGTGGGCAGGCGGGGCAGCAAGGACCCCCCGCCAACCCCAGAGCTCCGTTAGGCCAAAAGGGCAGTGCCCAGCCTGGCAGGGCCAGGAGGCCCAGGAGACAGACACCAAGTTAGAGACCTGGAGAAAGAGACCCTTTAGACAGCAGCTTAGAAACAGACCCAAAAGGCTGAAAACCAGAAATCACAGACACTGAGACATTCAGGGACACAGAGATGGCGACAGAAAGAGACACTGAAAATTTCAGACAGACCAGATACTCAGAGACAAATGTGAAGCCCAGAAAAACCCGGGGAGACAGATGGACGAACATTTCATGCCCCGAGGGGTTGCCAGTCCAGTGGGGAAGCCAAAAATGAGATGGTTACAATCTAAGTTGGCAAGAGCAGAGCCAGAGGAACCAGGAGAGCAGGGTGCTGGGCTCAGCGCGATCTGAGCCTTCCTAGATGGCTTCTTGGAGGAAGTAATAGCTAACCGTTCTGGCTCAAATACCTAGGGACCTAGTACACACAGACAGGGAGAAAGCCATGGCCTGAGAGAAACAGTGACAGCGTCAGTGACCCAGGGAGAGAGGGAGGGAGGAGACAGCCCAGAGGGGACAGCTGGATCTGCGACTGGGCCCCGCTCTCTCTGCGCAGACCCTCAGCTCTTCCCCTGTTCTCTTCATCCCCTGCCTGGGTGGGGAGCATGCCGCTCCTAAGGGACAGTTGCTGTCCCCCCCAGGGACTGCTTCAGCTCATACCTTAAACCCCTCTCCATCTAAGCAAGTATCTCAATTTCCTCATTTGGTAAGTAGGATAGTCATGCCAACTTCAAAACGCTAATACGAGAACTAAGGATAACATAGTGGGAGCTCTGTCATTGATGGTCATGCTTCTGAATATTATTATCAGCCTTTCTCCAGTTTGGGAGATGGCTTGGACTACTACACAGATGGGGAAACTGAGGCAGTGAGGGTGAGACGCACTCTACTTTGTCGAAGCACCTGGCAGGTGACATGGGACCACTGTCTGCTAGACAGGTAGGTAGGTCTCTTTCTCTCTGGGAACCAGAAGTCCTCAACACAGGAGTCCCGCTTGCTTCTGTGGGCACACACGTGCAAGAATACATGCATGCCCCTGTTCCCTTGTATTCTGGGAGATTTTCTCCACCTGGGTTCTGGAAGCACCTGAAGGGCAGGAAGGAACCCCTCCACCCCTCTGTCAGTTGCAGAGATAAACATGAGCCCTCGGGGCAGGAACAACCTCCTAAAGCTTCAGGGCAGGCGGTGAATGTCGGTGGTGGTGGAAAGCTTGCTAGGGGAGACGGGGCTGGAGGCAGGTCTCTGGGGGAGAAGCCAGGGTCCAAGCCAGGGGATGACCCATCTAGCTGTGCTGCCTGCCCCGTGACCTTCCAGGGATGTGGCCCGCTCAACCTCAGTGATGGGGACCATGGAGGCGCAGATCTGTGTTTATATTGCGTGTAGCTCATCTCTGCTAGAAAGGAAAAAACCTCAAGAAGAGACCTGGCCAAGGGAGCAGGGACATTCCCTGCCCAAGACATGATCACAGGATGCTCCAGTGCCCGTTAGGCCAGAGTCACTCTGGAACCCACAGGGGAAAACCCCTGCCAAAGTTCAAGGCCCGGTGTGGATGTGGACAACCTGTGTGGCCTTATGCCCTGGCTGGTGTGGCTCGCCTTAGTCAAGTCATAGTCTGTCCCTGGACCTCAGTGTCCCCATCTCTAAAGTAGCCCCTAAGGCCCTTCCTGGCTGCCCCTTCTAGGAAAGCTGTGTCATCGAGAGTGTCTCTGCAGGCTGAGAAGGATGGGCAGGGGCCAAGAGTCCCATCCCATGGGCACTGCCAATCCCAGGACAATGGATCCCCTTGGCAAGGCTGGCAGAGAGGGTCCCTGGACACTACCAAGGTCCAGGCAAAGCACCTCTGGCCTCCTGTGCCCGGTTTTTCCCTACCCCTTCTTCCCTGATGCCCCTTGCCCTGCTGCCCAGAGGAGTAGGAACCCTGCTAAGACCCCTCAGCCCCTAAAGGGACAAAGCCAGGTGGAAGGTCATGGCTGGAAAGGGGATCCAGGCCAAGCAGGCTGTGGAGTCCCAGGAGGCCCTAAGTGAGTGCGGACCAGGAGCAGAGGCCAGTCAGGCAGCACAAAGGACTCGCTCTGGAAGGCTGGCGGGAGGAGGATGGGGCTGCTGGCAGCCGTGCAGGGCCCTACCTCAGCCAGGGAGCTCCGTCCAGCCTCCGGCACGGTCCAGGGCTCCAGGCCACCCTGGGGGCTCTGGGGTTGCAGCCAGGTCCTCAGGGGGCGATGTCAGCATGGCCCCTGAGCCCGGGCAATGCAAGCTCCTGGGTATTGTGTGGGGCAGGGAGGGGGGGAGGTGAAGGCGGAGGGAACCTTGCAGGCGGGCAGGCGGCTGTCTCAACGTGCCTGCTCCCCGCCCCCCTTCCCCAGAACCGGTTTGGCCAGTCTGGGGTACAAGAGGGGGGCTGGAACAATGGGAGTCCTATGCCCAGGAGAGGCTCTGAAGGACCCCAGACTGACGTCCTAAGGATGGGGAGGCACTGCTTTTCTTCCCACGAGACAGGTCACCCTCTGCTAGAGCTTCCCAAATGGGAGACAGGCTCAGGACTTTCCTTGGGGATGGGGAGCATTGCGGAAGCTTCGCAGGGAAACTCTCAAGCCTTGGGCTCCTCAGGGACCTCGAGAACCCCTCGGTGTGCCAACCCTCTCTGAGCCCGCTACAGTGGCTATCAAGTGGGAACACCCACCTCTATGGTTGGGAGACGGAAATCAGGAAGGTAGGCGATGTGATGCATCTGGCATCATTCGGGCCAGCCTGTCCAGCATCACTGCTCTTCATGAATGACCCATCTCACCATCTCCAGTGGCCTCCTCCACCAGGAAGCCTTCCCAGACTCTAGTCTCCACACCCAATGAGCCCTCAATAAACCAACTGAAATAACCCAAGCAGGACCAGCATCAGGTAAGGAGGGCCTACCCTTGTCTGGCATGCATGCTTCCCAAGCCCCTGAAAGGAAAAGCTGCTCTCTTCCTAGTACCACCTGCCATTTGAGCACTTGGTGACTGCCAGGCACTTAGCATTAACATGAATATGTATATAAATACTAATATTCATGTTGCTAATAACTCTTATTGCACACTCGCTACATGCCAGGCACTGCCCTGGATCCTGATACAGCTCCCACTTTTCAGCTGAGATACGAGGCTTGTACAGGTTGTAATGGGCAGGATCCTGTTTAAATCTCTCATCAGGTCTATGATGCACCCCTCTCACAGATGGTGAAATTGAGGTTCCAGGAATTAAATGACTTGCTCAGGGTCACACAGCTAATAAGAGTCAGAAGTAATATCCAAATCCAGGTCTGTCTGACTCCGCCACCAGCATGTGCCCTTGATCGCTCTGCGGTACTGCCTCACAAGGCTTTGTAGAAGATCTGGTGAAAAGAGTGTGAAAGTCTTTTGGGAGGTGTCTCAGCTGACCTAACTAAATCCTTTTATTTTTATCCATACACTACAGGCCTTGATGAACATATGGGGCAGGGATCCAGAGCCCAGACTCCAATGAGCTCCCCCTACCAATGGGTGGCCATTCAGTCAAAGTGATCAGGTGCCTCCACTCCCTCATATTCCCCTTGCCCTACCCAGAGCATCACATAATGAGGAGAGACTGCTCACAGGGAGTGGGGGCCAGGTGTCCAGGGAGAGTCAGCACGCAGGGGTGCAGAGAGAGGTTTATTGCAGCATTG